AGAGAGAGAGAGAGAGAGAGAGAGAGAGAGAGAGAGAGAGAGAGAGAGCAAGCGACGTGAGAATAGGCAGAAATAAGTAGCGATCTGAATTTAAGAAGAATTCTGGATGTTCGGTGGTTTCCTTGACACCATTGTCCAGTTCCAGAATGCACGTGCTGTATTTCATACTAAAAATATCGTTCTTAAAAATACATATTTTTCTGGCCGCGAATCAGGCCTCAAAAAGCAGAGTTTCAGATTATAAAACAGAACACACGTAAATTGAATATCGATCAAAGAAGAAAATTAATGGCTTAATGCGAGAGAAAGAGCTTCAAGTACTAGATTTCCAATCAGCAAAATTGTATCTTTATCGTATAGCTCTCAGCTTTTAAAATTATCCTTTGCGACTTTATAAATCTTGTTTTTATTATAGTTTGACTATCTAAATCTTTTGGTTTCATTAATTTTTATCGTCTTGTTCTTTTATTTTTTGCAGTTACTAGATTTCGAATTATTAAAAGTGTATCTTAACTTGACAAGAATTTTTCTTATCCTTCTTAACTTCATAGATCTAATTTTTAATTTGATTTATTATACATTATAATAATCCCTCGGTTTCGCTTTTAACTTTTATTGTTCTTTTATTTTTCACTTTTATATTAGATTTCTAATTATCAAGTGTATCTTTATTTTAGCCCAGAATTTTCTTCTTTATAGATTTAATTTTTAATTCGACTACATTGTGATAATCCTCTGATTTCGTTTTTAATTTTGCTGTTTTGGTTCTTCTATTTTTACCTTCAATGTATTTTTACTGTTTTTTTCTCTCTTTATAAAAGAAATTACTTTTTAAGAATCGCTTAGCATGATCTTGCCTCGTAAAGTTCGGACGTCGCTCATGAGAATCATATTGACGAGGGTGGCTACGTCCTTAACACGATTCTATTTTTTTCACGGATGCATCGGCTTGATGAGCGGCACGGGGACCTCGAAGTGACGCAATTCTCGTTTCGTACCCGCGAGTCATACGTGCGTAGACGAAGTGGACGCGGTCGCGGCGAAGAGGGACACACGTCGAGGAGAGGAGAGTCCGGTCCGGACGAAGAAGAAGCGGTGTCGACGCTGAGGCAAGCAGAATCGCACGAACTTCCATCGCGATCGCATCATAGTCGCGTATCCTTCCCCTTCGCACGCGCGCACGAAGAAAAAAAAAAAAGAAGAAAACAAACCTTGTTAGCGCATCCGATTTCGCGAACCCGATTTTTCGATCGACGAATTAGCGATACTTGAAGAGCAAACCGGAAAGGCCAGCAACAACCATGGTTTACGAGAGCGACTTCTACACGACCCGGCGACCCTACTCGCGGCCGCTCGTCTCTTCCTACAGCGTCTCGGTCAGTATAAGAATCTGGAGTTGTTTTTTTTTGCTCCAAAAAAAGAGCGGGCTGGAAGTATGTTTTAATAATGTTTTTCGCTACACGTGGCAAACTAACGTCGAGAAAGAGAGAGAGCCCCGTTTGCAACAGGAAGTGTACCATCCCCTGTAACCGCCATCCCGTATGATTTTGCTAAACCGCGTCGACGTCTCACCGGCATTCCTCAGCGCATCGACAGCATATTTTCTCTCGTGTGCATTGAGGATCGATCCGTTTTTGACCCGGTATTTAATATTCGAAATGTTGATCTAAAACGTAGATCTGTGAATATAGATGTCACACGTGATTTTCAGTGATGAAACGAAGATCACGTTTGAATATGTTGTTGTTTTAATGGCACATTATGAGAAAAATCTCAGAGAGAAATAATCGATTCAGGTCAAAACAGATTAAATAATTAATCAATGATTGACGGGATAATTATTCGCGCGATCGTTGGATGGGGTCGGCGTTTTATTTATATGACACGCGATATGACGACGATTTGTTGTAAATTTAATAGTTGAATCATTTATCGGGTCAAACATAGATTTTCTTCGAAGAGATTGCGAATTAAAGAAGAATTTTTTGTACTTTTGAAGAAATTATTAAAAATCTTAATTAATAAAATATATTTTGGTAATATTTTTTATATATTTCTCACTCATACATATATATTTATTTGTGTAAAAGTTTGTCAACGTATCAATAAATTTTGTTGATCTAATAAAAATAGCAACTCGATGGAATTAAAAAATTAAATACCACAGAGAATGTATAATTGTTTAATATTCTTAATTTTTTAATATTTGAAAGTAACAGAATTTATATAAATAACAGTCAGTACATTTTCTTAAAGAACATTCACTTTGAAACTTATTAATCCTTAATCCGCGATTTTAAGATTTTTATTTTCTATTTTCACGTTATATCATTTATATTCATTTAGTTTCAAATTACATTCTAAAACTATTTTTAAGATGTAATCCATTAAAAATTTAATCTTTTTAAAATCTTTTCAGTCCTCGATGAGATTTAATTTCATTTAACATCTTCAAGTTTAAAAAGAATAGAAAACAGTTAATAACATTTCTTGTTTGAAGAAGATGCGCGTAAAAATGAACGCATCAAAAAGATGAGAATTAAACATCCTAAAATCGTCTGTTTTATCAATAAAATTTACACACATACGATTTACATATCATTAACATATCGCTATTCACTACTACAGCAATATCATAAGTACATTACGTACGAATTTTTTAATCAATTTTTCATATTAGATGTTCAATAATATGCCTAAATTTTCTAACTGACTTTTTTTCATATTACGTATGTAATTCTCCAGATCACAAAGAACTTCAAACTATCATTGTTTTATCCGTATAAAATCCAAAACTTTTATATAAATATTAAGCAAATATTGTTACAAGCCGCCGTCAAAAAACTGTAATGTTCCATTTTTTTGTTTTTCGCATAAAATTGACCAAGAATTTTTAAATCTGAGTGTGAAAAGACAATTAGAAAATACTTGAAAAATAATTAATCAGTAATACGCAGACGACTTTAGGGTCCCTTTAAGGGTTGATTTGAGATTCATAAAGTAGAATGCTCGAGGAGATAAATATCAGCCACACGGCAGAGAAAGAGCAACGCTGACCCGCATTCGGCCGATCGCGATTTCATTGTTGTCGACCGCAACCGATATCCCGTGAGACGTCGAAGATGCGCGCGAAGCGACGAGTGAGAACTTGGCATTTGATTCTCCCTTATTCCCTCCGGTTCGTCGACGAGGTCGATCGACGACAGAGAGCGAGCGGCGCGACCGGAAACACCTCGACATTGCTTGTTCTCTGACTTTGTCCTCCTCGAGGGCCTCATGTCCTCGTCGCTGCTGTTCGTCGTCGAGCTCGACGCCGCGACTCACCGAGAAATCACCGCCGAGACAGATCTCGACTTCCACACTTCACTCCGATCACTGTGTTCACCACTACTATACTAGCACTGTACTACCAAATTTACTACTATTATTACTGTTACTACTATATTACCACTACTACTATACTACCGCTCCTGTGCTCGAAAACGTGCACTCGGTGTCCCGCAGAACGACGAACCCTTCAATCGAAAAATGTAAGGGGGGTACGGTAAGAGTTTTCGGAAACTTCAGAGGGCACAGATTTTTATAAAACCACGGACCAATTTATCATTATCTGATTAACTTGTAGTTAAGCTTAATCTCATGTTTTATCCAATGAGATTCACCCATGTATCATCAAATGAAACTTATTGGATAAAGCATCAGGTTAATCCTAACCCCAAGTTAATCAGAAAATGAAAAACCGAGCCTGTATGTAGCATTTTGACACTAAAACCGCCGATAAAATCCCACTAGAACTGCCAAAGATGTCAATTTGGTAATTTTCTATCGTCAATTTTAATTAGTGAAAAGTATTGTGGTATTACTTGTATCGTTAGGTCATTTATATTTGATTCACATATTTTCAATATTTTGTACTGTATGTCTAATACAAAAAAGAAAAAAATTATTAGTAGAGCCAAAATAGCAATCGACGGTTCTAGTGTTAATCGGATCCGCGTGTATACACAGCTTCATGGATTTCGTAAATCAATTCCGCGAACAATCACAGCGATTCTTTTTTTTATTTTCACTGTTCTGCCGAAGATACTTTTGGGGTGCGTTCCAAACTTGACTCTGTCAACTTTGAGTATCTGTTGTAGAGTCGAGTTTTGGAACGCAACCCTGCAGGGTTGTAAATAAACATATAGACCCAAGTCCACTGTTAAATGGATAATTCGTGTAAGGAACCTTCCACGAATATTTGTGATATGTAATATTTTTGTGTCTTTTTTTTGTTCATGTTTAGTACAGCTACTCTTGACGAGTTCAAGGGATAGCATTAGTTCTTGTTCCATAGTTACGTTGTCTATGTCCACGACCCCGCAACAATCGGGTTATCGTGTGTGTGCGACAGGACTCGCCGCATACCGTTTGTGCTAATCGCAACTCGAGCCGTTGTGACAGATCCGTTGTCCGACACATATTTCTAACCATTGGTAGATATTTGATGTTGATCAAATGTTAATAATAAGCACGATACTTCGATTATATTATTACATGAATTAAATTAAATAATGCAAAATTAAGTACCATGAAAGTAAAGAAAAAGTGCTGCAATATGTTCTTTTAAAAATTAATCTTGTTATTGCGATAGATTTGTAATTATTTTGAAAATATTAGTTTTTATTATTGCTAATATTTAATATAATAGTATTTTTACAATATATAAAATTATTATTGTTATATATTATACGTTTTATATTATTATACGTTAAGATATTTTTTGCAAATCGCTGTTAATTTTAAACTGAGGTGATTATACCAAGAAGGTTTCAAACAGATTACTTTGTAAAAATAATATTTACTAATTTTGTATATAGAGTTCTTTTATACGTTGTGAGATATTTCTTTTATATTCAAACATTCTGTATACTACATAAAAATGTTCAAGTTTTTTGTTTCATCGTGAGTATTAATTTTACTCGATAGAGGTTCGACGCCGTTACTATTTGGCAAGAGGTTTTGTCTAGACATAGTTAGAATCGTCGAGAGATCGGGAATCTGGGTTAGCTTTAGGGATTGCCATTGATCATCAATCCGACGATAAAAAAATAATGAAGGTAATAAGATAAATGATACAACGTCGACAGAAAATTATTCTTATAAAGAAAATCATCCATCTGAAAATTGTTTAGTTCTTGACATAGCTAAATTTTTTGATCGGAATTATTGTTATTAATTCTGAAATTCTGGAATGGCAGTCGCACTGTTAATAGCCTATTTAAAAAAAGAATAAACATTTAAAAATCATAAAATGTTTTCGTGAAAATGTTATTTAAAAAGTCGCGCAGAAACAAATTTCGTTATAAAAACCGATGACTTTAAAATATTTAAAAGCAGAGAGTCTTTCAATTCGCGATTAAATGACTATCAATTACAAACGAGATTTTCTATAAATATTCGTAACAATTACATGCTTTAATCATTCTTTAACTGTACAATTTTATTCCTACATATTTTCGTCTGTCAAAAATACAATAGTAAGAAAAATAAGTCTCGCGATTCGAAAAATGCAAATCTGCTCCATCGATATCGTGATGTCACAAATATTTAGACTAAATTAAAAATTAACTAAATTAAAAATTAACTAAATTAAAAATTAACCTGCTACATTTCAAACTGTGCACTGTAAACTCTTTTTTGGATATCATTCTCCAATGTAAAATGCATTCGGTCCTGCTCGGAGCTCGATTCGGATCGTCGGCCAAATACATTTTTCTGTCGACGTGGATCTGAGATTCGCTGGGTCGCGCGGCCGTCTAAGTTTAACACGACGAAGTCCCGGAAAATGGCTGCAACGCTATGAATAGCTTCCGTTCTGTAATTCCCTGCCCTCCGGCAGCTCTATTTATAATAATTTTGGATTTTCTGATGTTAGACGGCTCCTGCCGGTTTTATCCTGCGCTTTTTACTCGGGTCGCGTATCTTCAAAGCGCGAAAATCTTCAAACTTTTCTCGTTTAGATCGCGCGTTCTGAGAGTTCGACACAGTATCGAGCCGCTATACAGCGATCCGTATTGTTTAATACTGGCACGAGTGGCTCGTGCTTAATACGTGTCTATTTATAAAGATTAAAATCAACCGCGCTTCACAGAATAGATGAACGTTTTGGCGTCATCGTCCGCAGAGCTGGGTCGAAATTAAAGGGACGTCATAATTTTAAACACTCATTCGTATTTTTCCAATGAATGTCGTGGCGTTTTAGATTTATAGTAGAGTAATTTGCACAATAATGCTATCTCATCAAATGGCGTAACACTAATTTTTCAATTTCCTAGGTTTGGAAAGTAGATTACAGCAATAACACTGCAATTGCAATAATGTTGTAATTATTGTA